TAACTAGATAGGTAGGTAGGTAGGTAGGTAGGTAGGTAGGTAGGTAGGTAGGTAGGTAGGTAGACAGGCAGGCACGCAGGCAGGCAGGCAGGCAGGCAGGCAGGCAGGCAGGCAGGCAGGCAGGTGGGTAGGTAGGTAGGTAGGTAGGTAGGTAGGTAGGTAGGTAGGTAGGTAGGTAGGTAGGTATAATAAATAAATGAACATATATATATATATATAGGTATATATACATATAATCACGCACAGTGACTGAGAGAGAGAGAGAGTGCGAGATACAGAAAGAAAGAAATAAAGATAGAAAGGCAGATAGGTAGGTAGGTAGGTAGGTAGGTAGGTAGGTAGGTAGGTAGGTAAGTAGGTAGGTAGGTCGACAAATCACCTGAGCACTCAGGCGTTGCCACATCGGACAAGGCAGAAGGCCCCTATCATGACGTTGGCGAACCCCTGGTGAGCGATCCCCATTGGGCTATTGATGCGATGCTCGGAGAAGAATTACTTGAGTGGGCAAGAGAGCACTACAAGTAGATCAGAACTGAACTGCAGTACAATGGCAAGCTTAATCGTGTTGTTGCAGCCTCAGATTCAGACAGCAATGTACGTTCGTGTTTTTGCCCTTCCTACACCTTCATGCCAAGCACGATCCATGGCTCAGACTAGGAGCCTCGGGAACCAGAAAGACATTCATGTAGTGTCCCTGTCCCCTTCGGCTTTTTCTTGCAGATGTGCCGCATCTGATTTAAGGACGTATTTCAGCGATCATGAAAGTGGCAAGCAGTATCTGCTTTGGAAGATCGATGGAAACGCACACAATGTCCCCTCCGCCATCAAGATACGTGACTGTGCAGCACTAGCGCGGTGTCCAGCTAAATGTATGCCGCTCGGACCACCACAGCTGCCTCTGGACCTGACGGCACGAGCCCTGCCGCATGTACACAAAGACATCGCTTCGGCCTCGGCAACAAAGAACAGACTGCCGTCAACTTGCCTGATGACCAGGAGAGCTTGATACGAGCGTCGGTTGCACTTTGGCCACCGGCTCAGAAGTGACTCGACTGGTTTAGACCTTGTGCGTTCCTGCCGTTACAGCGCCTTGGGGGGCAGGGTTCCTGGACAGCTTTACGGCGTTAAGACTTTAGAGGGAATAGGCAAAAACCAAGCCGATTCACAGACACATGTTCTGATTCTGATTTCGTAGTAGCTATCACAAACATCCCCAAGAGACTACCACAATCAAGAGCATCAGAGCAAGAATATCTTGGTGAAGAGCAGGTGCATGAGCTCATCCGCAACGACCTGCCATGGGAAGGCCCAGTCCCTGTGTTTGGATTTAGGGTTTCAGGCCAGGTCGATGTGTGTTGGGTCCTTTTGTCCTTTGGTGTCAACTTGAATGAACCCGGCACGGGTCAATGCCTACTTTTTTGTGCCTGCTTTTGTTCGGAATGCAGATTACAAACGCCATCATACATATTTATATATATATATATACACACATACATAATTTGTTTATATATATATATATATTATAACCGAAAATAAGCATGCATAGTTGCGTATCTGAGTGTGGGTGTGTGAGTGTGCGCACACATACTAATTATGTGCGCTGCGGAGGGTCTTCAATGTTGTCACGGCACAGTGCTCAGTGCAGATGGGGTTTCACAGAATAGGGAACCCAAATCCAATCTTGCTAGTCGTGTCCGTATAATGGGAGCCCCACAACAAGCGCACGAATTTGAAAGAACACCCGCATGTCGGGTCCAAATGTATCTCACAAGTGGCATGCTTATGTTTAGTTCGCGGTGCCAGGTACCGTAGTGGAGGGGCCCTTCTTGATCAAGCGTGGCGGCTTCTACTACCTGCCACCTAGCTTGAATCTGAAGAAGCATTAATTTTAACTTCCACGAACGGCTCAAGCACAACATTGCCCAACGTCATCGGGCTCTTCTCACACTGGAGCCCTCGGTATACAGAATGCCGAAAAGCTTCAAAAGATTCTAGTTGAGAGATCAAGGGTGTCAAGTCCACTGTTTCAGAAACTCTGAAAGTCGCACACCATAGCCGGGCCCTGAACTCGAGATCTGCGACAAAAGCAGAGTTCGCAGGAACAATTCGGAGAGCGGCGGCGGTAAAGCTCCGAATAGGGCAAGTTTCTGGAGGAGATGTCCATCCGGCTTACGTTCGTATATCCTCTCATCGCAACGATTCATTCGAAACGCTAAGCCCCGGATGTTGTGACTTTCACAAGCCCGAAATGTTTCTGCCAATGCAGTACAGTATGATAATTGTTTCACCTAAGTCCTGAACCATTTGCAGTTCCCCAAGCCGCACAGTCCGAATAGCCTAAGTCAAGTAGATCCCTCAATCCTTGCTTGCCTCCTCAAATGATCGACCGGTTGCTGCTCGCCTTTCCAGGTTCTACTCCGGGGAGTGCTATGGTAACCACCGGTACTGCGTGGGTGTGGCTCGGGCGGAGCAGGCTGGAACATGGTAAGTTGCAACTGTTTTGACATGCTTTATTACCAGCCGTTGTGGTGTCCTCGACACAGCAAGCAGCAGAAATTCAATGTTGATTGAAGGACGATGTTGCCAATGACACACATTTTTTTCTCGCAGGTCCTGTTGCAGTTCGCACATCTGCCGTTACCCTTCATCACAGCACTCCGCAAACTTGGTACATCGCCACCCCAAATCATTCAACGTTCAACTTGGAACCGCGGAGCCCTCCTGACCTTCTAGACCCCTTGCGGAGCTCAATCTGGGATTCCTGAAATTCGCTGAGCTCACGAGGTCTTGGGGCCCTACGAAAAGGCTGCCGCACCCGTTCTTTCAAGCGGCCGCGGCTTTGCCGGGCCTGGGCACTGCGTTGTCGTCGCCGCGCCGGGAGGGGATGTCCCTCGGAGCAAAAGCTAGGGCTTTACGGTTTCGGGCAGCTGCGCTATAGCCCCGAATCATACGAGGCAGTACAGTATAGGTTATGATCCCATGACCCTACATGATTCAATTTATTATGCGGTACAACTCTCCAGTGCAGTTTCGCAGAAACAGTATAGGGGCATTTCTGAATGTCATGTGGGCCCCGCTGACGACAAACCATGTCTATGCGTAGCCTCCATCCAACCGCCTCGGCCCTTTCTGGGCGAGCAACCGGTAACCATGGAAACCAATGTGCAGCTGCCTTTCTCTCTCTATCTATATATGTATATTATACATACCATATATATATATAGTTCATCTACTAAATACTTTTCATGCTTTCCATAGGTGGTCACATTATGGTGGCACTGTTCTTAGCTGGCTGCTGGCAGCTGCTACCACATCTCACCATCACTTTCATGACCGTGAGCACCGGCGAGATCACTTTTCCCTCATACGTAGGACTTAGGATTTGGAGCATAAATACGTACTCATACGTGATGTGTCCATACTTAGCTGATGCGTACGGTGTACTTGCAGAGGTACATGTGTGTGTTTGTATGTGTATGTGTATGTATGTATGTACGTATGTACGAATGTGTATATATGTGTATATGTACATGTATTTGCATGCACACCCTTCTTTGCACATGTGGACACATCTGTATATATTATGCATATATTGATATACACAGATGTAATGTACAACGATATATATATATATATATACTTATTTAGTTGTACTGACATCATGCACAATCTGCGTAGTCTGCACTTCTATGCTGAGCAGCCAGCCAACAGGTCATGGTTTACCATGCCTGGCCTTCGGATAGCCCTGGTGGCCGGGGCTCGCGCGGCGGGAAGCGGCAGGTCACTTGTCCGAGAACCCCAGAATCTACCACAATACCTCGAAGCCTATGTTGTGCCCAAAAGCACAACTTTGAGCCCGTATACTCACGGTTTAGAGCCCGTATACTAGGTGCGAAGTCCCCAATGACGAGTGTGAAAGCATACAGACACGATAGAGAATGCATGTTGGCTGTGTGTATGTATATATATATATATATGTATATGCATATATATATATACACACACACACATGTTTGCATTTCTGCAGGCATTGTTTCATCCATGCAACATGTGTGTTTGTGTCTCCGTGTGCGAGTGTGTATCTATCCGCAGGTGAACATAAGCGCACGCACATGCCGAACTACATGCATACGCACACAGACTAGGTTGGTTCGTTCATAGAGGTTTGCAATTTAGGTCTTGGTCTTTGTGTCTTTGCGGGAACCGGTCAGGCGGAGCTAGAACATCATCTCGCACACCCGAAGCGAGTGCTTCCATGAAGCACGGTTCAACTTTCTATACTACACTGCACCCCAATACAACTCCTTGCCCCCGGTCGAGTCATGTACAAGGACTTTCAATCTTGGTTGCACAGACCGAAACAAAAAGCAACAGCACGTCTCGGTTGCAGCTCCCTTTGGATCGGTTATAAGAGAGCCCAGCTCGGCTTACACAAGACACCAATGTCAGGTGCTGGCAGAGCGCGTGACGTGGGAGCACCGGGGCGTTCTGGTTGAGACTTTACAGTGCCTTTACGCCTTCCAGATCCCGCTAGCGGAGTTTATACTTGTACTGCAATTCTTCCAATGCTTATACTGCGGCAATGGCAATGACAACAGTAATGGCGACTGCAACTCCCACTGTTAGTCAGTAGTCGTAGTGCCTTGTCCAACTACTACCGCTACTGCTACTGCCACTGCCGCTGCTGCTGCTGCTGCTGCTACTGCTGCTGCTACTGCTGCTGCCACTAGTACTACCACACTACCACTACCACTACCACTACCACGACTACTACTACGAC